AGTTGTTTTGACTGAATACTCAATTATACTAAAAATAGCCCATTTTCATTGATATAAAACATGCACAAAAAATAACGTTTTACATTACCTGCTGTTTAGTTTTCTGGTCTTTCTCCTCCACTGAAAACTACCTTTAAATTCCTTTTTTTTTTCTTTTTTTTTGTATTGATCATAAATTTTGCTGTCCAAAAAAGATTGTGAGAAGTGAAAGTTCATTTATGGCTACAATGAGGTCATTTTTCATCCCGTTTTTTTAAATCCAGTCCTGTTGGTTCCGAGTCGGATTGGTCCATATTTCATCCAGAAGTTGCTTATGAAATTATTTCCAGCCTCCATCTTCCTCTATGTCCAGTTGGGAACGTGGTTTTCGCTTGTTTGTTTTTCTTTTTTGTGTCAAAAACTGTTGATTCAGTGTTTCACTCCTGCAAGTCCAACCCTGCAAGCAGGTGCACTGTTATTCTATTTGGGGCAGTGAGAGAATAACCTCATCATTTCCCAAAATTCCCTCACAATATGAGCGCGTTCCTACCATCTGTGTCCAACTGTTTCTCCGCATTTGTACAGTACGGGAGGTGTTTATGATCTTTGGATGCCAGCGGTCTCGCTAGAGACACGACCGTAGAGCTGCTCGAGGACTCGGCGCGCAAGGACCGCACATTTTGGCTCTTTCGCCTATTGACACAGCTGCTATCTCGCTGCAGTTTCGAGGGCGGGGGAACCAACTTCCCTACATGCAGACAAGCACGCGTGGAAACATCTGTAGCTTGGCCTCTCTTTTTCTTCCCCCTTTAAATGTCATCAAGTGCTTTGCAGACACAGGTTTACTTTTTTGTTTTTGTTCTTTAAGCAAGTCTTGCAAAAGCTATGAAACTTTTCCAAACGATAGATTTCAATACAATGACAGGACACGTTTCCCCTGATGGTTCTGAAAGATTTTCGCCAGTCTTCACCCTTCTGCCAAAGTCCAGATGTATGGAGAATCCGGTAGACTGTCGTCACGTTGGTGGAAATGAGTTTGGCTTCTTCAGCATCGCTTACGCCCTCTCGGCAACTTCCATGACCACTTTCGTTCTCGCCTTTTCATCGATTCAGCAGAAACACGATATTCCCGTTGTTCTATACTTTCCCCCATCATTGGTAACTTGTGCACCCTTCTCACAACTGACAGACCTTTGCAACCCGTATGGAAACTACGGCTTTGGCCACAGGATGCGGAAAAGCAACTGTCAATGAAAACCTGCGGAGGAAGCGGGCCTTCAATTCAAGTCATTCTGTTTTTTTTTAAGACTGATGACAGATGTGAACTCAAGAAATGTAAATACCGAAACTGATTCACAAGGTGCTTCGACAAAGTTTATAGTTTAGTTTTTACATTTATGTATGTTTTTCATTATATGTACAGAGCTCCCTTTAACCTCACAACAGTTTTTGCGGCGTCTTGCGGTGATGCATGTCATTTCACGCGACATCTTGAATGCCGAACGTCTTTCTGTTACGATTTGAGGTTTTGTGAAGTTTTACTGTGGATGTTAATATCTTCCTAGTGAGATTTAGAAACACATTTTCACCATTTTAAATTCATCCTCATCACAGTATATCGTAGACTGTGATTAAGCATATATGACACTGCTGCAAGCTACTGCGGACCATAAATGGTTTATTTTAACTGAATGCCAAATAGACCAGTGATTGTATGACCATTTATTGAGTGAGGACGCAATGTCTTTGCCAGGTAATGAACCCAAAACCTTACATTTGAACTCTATGGTTTTACACCATAAAACCGTAGAGTTCTGGTGTATCTTTTGTTTTTAACAGTTTAAGGTAGTCAGGTTCATAATATATATACTGTTGTTTTTACAGCAACCTGATGTAAGAAATGTTTACCGTGCATCTGTGATTTTTAAGGTAATTTTCTGAAAACGGTTTACGGCTCTGTACCGTTAAAGTGACGGTTGCCGAAACATTGTATCGTAATGTCTTGTGCACTGCGGCCATATTTACCACAGTAACATTCTAGCAACTACCTCTGCGGGTATTTTACCTTAAATTATACCTTTTTTTTTCTTACATTGTATGGCTGAGTTTAGACATTGAATAGGTTTGGGGGGTAAAGGAGAGAACTTGCTTAGGTTTAAGAAAAGTCAACTAATCGCCTTAAAATATATCGCAAATCAAAACTCACTTTCTTGAGACTCTGAAATGGAACGGACAGAAAACAACCTTTCTGCTAAAACACAAATTTACGCGAGTACTCTGTGACATTTTGTTCCTAAACGTCAGCTCCTGCTTCACTGAAACCTTTTCTTGCTTCCTGCAAGACGTGCCACTACATCTTACCTCGAATATTTTCCTTTTGTTTGTTTTACCTTTTTTTTTTTTTAACTCGCCTGGCTTTTTTTATGACGTGGAGAGTAATCTGGTTATTGTACAGCTCCACAGCTGAGCCGAGCGGGTCCCGGATGATTGAGAAAAGCTGAGAACACAGAGTGAGAACGTAAATACAAATCTCTATAATAATATATTGCGTCACCCGTAACTCTATCCGGTGTTGGTATGCGGCGAAGTTCAGAGTGCAGAGCCCGCTTTATAAGGGGCGCCCGGGGGAGATCGGCTGATAACATGGGAATTGATGTAGGCCATTAAAGGAACGTGTGTGCAGGGGATGGAGGGGAATGTTGCACTTGGCCTCCGCTACAAAACTGTACATCAGCATGTTGTCACCTAGGCTGATGTCACAGCGGGTCCTTTGGCTATGAAAACACTCCCTGAGCTTTTTGTGGGTGACCGACGCACAGCCTCTCCTCGCTAATGTGAAAAATTATGCCAAGAGGTACACTTTTTTTCTTCTTCTTCTTGGGTTCGCGATGAAATGAAATTAACTTACAATTAGGTCATGCCTGTGCAACTACGGCGCCCTACAAAAAACTATTGATGCCTCTTGAAAGTTTTCGCTCTTTTGTAGGTTACAGCCGCAGACTTCAATGTACTTTGATGGGGATTTACGTGGCGGACCCAAACTAAGACGCTTTTAAAGGGGTAGTATTGGATAATTTCTGACTGATCACTTTCTTTCGTGGTTCATAAAGAAGAGCCGAACCTTCGGTAACAAAATCATCTTTATGGATGACAATGAATGCTGCAAGGAATACCACTGTGTCATTGGGTGCTATGGGCATAAAAAGGAAGAAACTCATGGTGTGTCAGCATCCTCCTCTGACCTCTGACCCTATTGAGAACCGTTGGAGTTTCCTCAAGCAGAAGATCTGAGGGTGGGATATAGTTCATATCAAACTGCAGCTCTGGGAAGGTTTTCTGACATCCTAAAAAGAAATTCAAGCAGAAACTTTCCACCAACTCACAAATTCAATGGATGCAAGAATTGTGCAGGTGATATAAAGAAGGTCCGATGTTAACATGTAACTGTTAAGATGTTTTTGATTGAAGTAGCTTTTGATTTTAGTACATATAACCACCTAATGCTGCACATTCAGAGAATGACCATTTGCAGTTCTTTATAATCCATAAAATGTTTAGAAAATCTGCTGTGCAGAATCATTTGGAACATGGTGTAATACTGCCTCTAATTGTGAAATGAACCTTTGGAGTTTCCTCAAGACAGCCCTTCACTGATTACTGCTGCAGGCCTTAGGAGGTATGTCAAAGTTTTATGGCTTCCTTTCAAAGCAAAAGAGTGAGTCTTTTATATTTCAGACTTAACATAATCTACAGAACATTTTCAACTAAAATCTGACTACTTTGTTTCTTTCACTGATGTATTTCATGTTTATTGCCGAGCAGGTAAAGCCGACTAAATAAATCACAATGCAAATTGGTTTTCGCTTTTCATTTCAAGCCCTATATTATTTATTGCCTAGCCAATATGTTAGTCAATTTTGGCCCGCATGGCAGACAGTTCTACCCGAAGAGCAGAGACAATTCCAGAATCCAAGTTGCTTGAGGTTCTGTTTGGAGTTCAAGCAAAACTCGTACAGAGAATCAGATGATTCATACTGCTGTGGTTTCTCATCTCCAAAGTCACTACGGCTGTCAGCCAGAGCGTTGTGAAAGCTTGATGCTTTCCCTTGCTGACAACTGTTATGGAAATGTCGATTTTATTTTCCAGCAGGACTTTGGCACCTGCTCACTCTGTCAAAAGTACTAAAACCTGATTTGATAAGCAGAGTGTCACTGTCTTTGATTAACCAGCAAATTGGCCTGCCCTAATTTATCTAGCATAATGTTGAAAGGAAGCAAGACACCAAAACCAATAATACAGACAAAATAAAAGCTACCGCTAAAGAAATCTGGGCTTCCTAAACTTTGGAATATCAGACTGAACCTCAAAGGTTTGTGTGAATAAACTGTAGAGTACCAGGAAATTATTTTCAGTAGGACGACGTTTCTGTATCAAACGTCCTTATTCGTCTGGTTGTAATCTGTTGGTCTGATTAACCAGTGAAGATCGCAAAAAATTATTTTGACTGTTAATCTTACAATTAGTCTAATGTATTTTAAATCTACCCAATGAAAAATATATTTTTACACAGTGACACAATTTGTTGCAGGTCTGCATTGGGAGCATTAGAGGGCGCTAAATCCCTGATTTGGAAGTCACAGAGGTAAAGTTGGGGTCAGTTTGATGTTATTTGGTCTTCAGCTTAAATGTTGATATCCTATCATTTCTTAGGAGCGATGTCTTTAGTCAGCTCCAAAGAAATGAGCTGATTTAAAAGTGTGCAGATGCATTTTTTGAGTGGTGTGATAATTTTAGCGTTTTTCCCATCAGTCATATGAAAAAACAACGATCTTTAGCTATGTACATCTGAAAACATTTATATTTTAGTTCCATTCCCTAAATGTACAAAACTGCAGCAGAGACCCTAATTAAATGTAGCAGATGGATGATGCTACATTTGGATGATGAACTGATCAATTTATTCTCTGAAATTAATTTCTGTATTGTGCTTTTCTTATACATACATATGGGGGAATGCATATTTAATAAATTGACCCTTTTATTCAAGCAAACGACATCTGATTGGTATAAAACATGAATCAGTGGATCAATGGATCAACACAAACATTTATCAGAGTACATGTCGGAGATGATAAGAATGCATAAGCAATTCGAAAAAATATTTCAGAATTCCATTAAATCCTTAAAAAAAGAAAAACAAAAGAACAACACAAAAGCTAACATCTTTATGAGGATAATCTTGGCAAATGTCGATTACGAGGCGTGCTGTGTCAAAAAGGCTCGAATTCTCTGTAGGAGCTCCTTCTTAACGCTGTCTGGCACCAGGGCTGCAATAAAGACACACCGATGAGTCGCTTTCCTGCAACATTTACTCTTTTTCATATGATCGCAAACTCTTTTATGAAGCCCTACAACATTAGTGTACATACACATACTTCTGTTTTCTTTCTGATATGCTTTTGTTCTGAACGGTGTGCATGCATTGGGATTAAAGGTGGGTAATGCACTGGATCGGAGTTCCTTCTTTTTTATACACATATATATTCTTTTTTTAATAAATATATATATTTAGCAATTGCCTTGTTTTTTAAAAACATCTTATTTATGATAATAAATTATGTAATCACTGTTTTCTGAGACTGTAGTGTTGAATTGTTGTGAGTTACCTCTTCCTTTAGGGGTGACCTCTACAACAAGGTCCTCCACCGTTACGTGCTCCAGACCTTTTTGTTTGATGACGTCTGCATGAGGAATATAACACGGTTAGACTGACCTATCAGAAGAGATTAAACTTAAGGATCAAGTTTAAAGCTAACTTTAGTGACAGATCAAAAACAAGCAAACAAATAAAAAAAAAATAAATAAATGTTAACCTCGCAAGGAGGTCACAAAGATATCAACTACTACTGTATAGTGTAAATGTGCAGGTGGGTTTAATGAGAGTATTAAGACTGTCAAGTGTTCAATAACTAATGTATTGTCTTATATCAATTGTCTTAATATAAAGTGGTACTAAAACCCGTGAAAGCCTCTTGGTTGATTTGATTTTATTGGTCCCTGCAGAGGGCGCTGTGGCTTATGTCCACAACTTGCTCTCAAAGCACCAGACACAGGCCGGTGTGAGGTACAGACAGATGTTCTAACATTATTCAGAAACCGTTACTGCAGGCTTTCACCCTCAAACCAAACTCTAACCTGTTGGTTGGAAATGATCTTCAAATGTTAACTCTCCATTTTGTTAAATAGTCTTGAACTGAACAGAATGCGTGACCGCCTGTATTTCAGGAGGGTTTCATTTGGCAGTGGTGCTCTGAGAGCAAAATAGCATTTACAGAAGTAATGGCGCCCCCTGGAGTCAAGATCAGAATTCAGTGCAACATCTGCTGAGTCTGTTCAACTGAGAGGGTTGGAGATGCAGAGTTCTCCGACCCTCTCCTCAACCTACTCCCCTTCATCCTCATCATCTCTGACCTTGTTTTACTCTCTTTTTACTGTCTGCCATTAAGCTGCACGACCTTTATTTCTATCTCTGCCCTCTTCACTGTCTGCCATATTCTACATAAACCCAAATAGTCAACATTTTTCCTATCTTTGCTTTAACGTCACTTACAGACGCTATTTTTACCTGACAAAATGATTGTGGTAAGCTTTAAGTAAGGTGGGCTTGTTTGTGAATTGTTCTCATTTATGCCAACAGGTCTACAAAAAAAACACATTTAGGCTTTACACAACTCCGTTTAAAGTGAATGCTGCATGTACAAGCTTTAGCTCAACTTTAGGACTTTGGGCCAACGGTTTCCTTTTCTCTTTCTTGTCTGATTATTGGAAATACTCCACATTTTGGAATAGTTCAAGTTCCAGAAAAGTATGAAGATGTAGTGTTAGCTGTTTAAAAAAAATATCCAAGCCTGCATGAGCCCTTGTGCTCGCAGGAGGGAAACTCTGATTTTAATTTTTAAGTTTTCCAGTGACATTTGACGGATTTATTGTGTCAAAAAGACTTTCTGTTGACACGATTTCTGTTATCGTGTCAACAGAACCTATGAACTCTGATGATGGCAACGCTGGGATTTCCAGAACATGAAAATCAAATATGTTTGCACTCTTAAAAACAAGTCATATTGCACAATAAATAAATAAATAAATTTTGAAAAGCAACACAAGAACTGTAAAATCCAACAGTTTCTGGAATCCAACTTTGTTAGCTTTTAGGATTTTAGTGTGGACACATTTTTCTATATTATTCATAAAATAAAAAAAATACAATAAATCAAAAAAATAGAAGAAGGAAAAAAAAACACCTTTTCTGAATACCTTAAAGTTTTCTAACTGGCTATCAGTCACAGTTTGGCTTAATATTATATTTGGTTTACTTTGGTTTTATTGTATGCATTCAGCAACGTTTATTTAAAGGCAAAGGGAACCAGCTGATGTGTTCATTAGTCATACAATCGTTTTTAAACAAGACCAAATAAACTGTACCTGCTGAACTGAAACAAGTCTGCAAAGACTTCATCAGACATAATGAATACTTATTAAAAAAAATAATAAATCGCCCAACAAAGCCCATATATCTACAACCTTGCGGAAACACGAGTTGGTTCATGTGTTAATGGACCAAATAAAAAATTGACTCAAGGTGAGTTTGAGTATTGTGTCATCTAGATTCTGTTGACCTTTTTGCATCTCTAAACATCCCCCCCCAAAAAAATTAATAATAATAGTAATGGAGAAACATGAAAGTACCTCTTCTTAGTAAACCTAAGCTTGCTTCCCTCATGTACAAGCTGCCATATTGTTTCTGGAAAAGTGTTCTTACCTTTGCATTGAGCCTTCATTTGGTCCTTCCATCCACACTCTGTGAGCTTAGCTCTCAGCAGCTCCTTCAATCTGTCACCCAGATCAACAGAGAGGAGAACAGGTGAGTCTTATGCAGACGAAAGAGCCTTCAAGTTGACATTTAAACACAAACATATTCAATAACAGCCCTGCCTTCTGGGATCTATACGGTATTAAATCCTCACCCACCTATCTCTTTCTCCTGTCTCCGTTAGCTTCTGGTTTATTGATGCCTTCAGTCTGGCTTCTTTATTCATTGTGTTTGTTCTGAGAGGAGAAACAAAGGTAAACACACGTCAGTCAACTCTTAAAAGACTGCGGAAAGAAAGCGACAAGAAAAAAAAAATACACACCAGCAGCCGAAGCAAGGGTGACATCACTACCAAGGAAACACACCGGGTTAAACTTAACCGAGCTTTACTCACTGTGAGATTCCACTTCTCGCGAGAGTCGGGAGTCAGTCTGCATCCAAAAGTGAAAATACGACAACCTTTAACGGCGCTAAAAAATAAAATAAAAAAAGAGAGAGAAAGAAAGAAGAAGCGACGTGGCCCTAAAAATCCCAACCACCGAGACTCGCTACGCAAAGAGGCTAACTCACTACTTAACAACTTAGCACCGAAACACTTAAGCTTTCACAAAGGATCCCCTCGGACGGTGGAACGCGGCCACAGTGGCTAAGACTCCGCAAACTTCCGGTGCGAAGCGGAAACACGTCATGTGTGCCTTGGGACTGGATTTAACCCTTTAATGCATGACCCTGATGATCAGTTTATCAGTTGGTCAAATTTCTGATAGTGAACGGGAATGTTGTGAAGATGCCATCTTCTAAAAATCATCAATTATTGATGAAACTCAATCCGGTTTTATGAAAAATAGTCATATTACTAATAATATAAGGTTGGTTCTGGATATTTTAGATTATCCTGATCTTGTTTGTGATAATGGTTTTATTTTATTTCTAGAATTATATAAAGCATTTGTCACAGTCGAACATGAGTTTATCTTTCAGAGTCTAAATAAATTTGGGTTTGAAAAATTCTTTACTTGTATTGTTAAAACCTTATACCAAAACACCAACAGCTCCATCAAATTAAAAAATGGCTCCTCTCCTAGATTCAACCTCTGCAGAGGAATCAGACAGGGCTGTCCCGTCTCCCCATATTTGTTTCTTTTAGTGGCTCATCTTCTGGCCGATCATATTTAAACTGGTCCTTTAAAAGGGATCACTGTTGCTGATAAAGTGGTTACTCTAACACAACTGGCAGATGACACAACTTTATTTTTAAAAGATCAGAGCCAAATCTCTTTAGCTATTAAGGAGACTGCTACTTTCTCCAAAGCTTCGGGTCTTTCTCTTAACCTTAAAAAATGTGAGATAATGGCCATTAAGGACTGTTCCATCGCCTCAATTGAAGCTATACCAGTTAAGAATGAGATTCTTTATTTAGGTATAAACATCACGAAGGATCAAATAGAAAGAAGCTCTCTAAACTTCAACCCGCTAATTCAAAAGACTAAAAAAAGACTCAATCAGTGGTTAGTTAGAGATCTTTCTTTGCGCGGCCGTATTCTGCTTAAAAGGCTGAAGGCTTCTCCAGGCTAATTTATGCTGCACAATCGTTGGACATTGACAATAAAAGTGAGAAGGAAATTGACAAACTGCTATTCAACTTTATATGAAAAAATAAGACTCACTATATTAAAAAATCGACTCTATTGAATTCATATGAAAATGGAGGAATTAACTGTTTATCTTTCTCTATCTTGAATAATACTTTTAAAATAAATTGGATCCGTATTTTTTTAAATTCTCCAACGTCTTTCTGGAATATTATATCTTTCCATATTTTCTCTAAATTCGGTGGTCTAAATTTCTTTTTAATTTGTAATTTTAATATAACGAAGCTACCAATTAAACTCTCTAACCCTTTTATTATGGTTATTCATCTATAAGCATAACTTTTCTCCTCACTAGTATTTTATTTGGAATAATAAGGACATCTTATATGAGAAGAAAACTATGTTTTTTTTTATACCTGGTTTAATTGTAACATTGTTCTGATTGAACAATTATTTAACATGGTCTGTTGTTGAGTTATGAGGAATTTCTTTGTAAATTCAATTTTCCTGTCTCTCCTGGGGAATATGCCAAAGTTCTTGGTGCCGTTTCTTCAAAGATTTGTATGTTATTCAGGCAGAAGCCGAGAGTCGATTTTCAGTCTCCTGTTCTATCTCCTATACATCCTCCTGTTGGCAAAATATGTCTGAATCCTTTTCCTCGTAACAACAAAAGGTCGACCAGATCCCTGTTTCTGGAGGTCGTGACCTCTGTTCCTGTGGTTGTACATTATTGGAATCGCGTTTGTATCACTTTGCCTTGGAAATTTATTTGGCTGCTCCCAAATCACTTTCTTCTCACTAACAAGGTAAAAGAAGTTTCTTTTAAACTCATTCACCGAATCTACCCTGTTAAAGTTTATCCAAAGAAATTCAATTCTAACATTGATGTGAATTGTTCCTTCTGTGACGTTTGCCCAGAAACGCTCACCCATTTGTTCTGGTTGTGTCCTCCTTCTATTTTGGCAACATTTTTGTAACTTTATTGATTCCAAAATATCAGCAGGATTTCAGTTATATTGGAAAAATGTCTTTGGATTTCAACAAAATGGAGGAATGAATGTGAAAAGTTTCCTTATCAACTTAATAATTATTAAGGCTAAATTTCACCTACATAAATGCACATTTTTGAAGAAAAAACCAAACTTTTCTGTTTTTTTGATTGAACTTAAACATTATTTATTAACAATTCAACCCTCAACCAACCAAAGAGCAGAATCAACAATATGGGCTTGCAATCAACTTGGACTTTTGGATTATCTTTTATGTAAATGTACTGTAATGTCATTCTCTTATCTTTATACTTTATCTGATGCTCCCCCTGGTCAAGTATTATTATTGTTCTATTGTGTTATGTTCACAATACAATTGTATTGTTTTTCATTGGAATAAAAAAAGTTAAAAAAAAAAAAAACTTTAATGCATGAATGATTATAACCTGTCTGTTTAGTCCAAAGCTAGTTGGACTGTATGTCTTTAGCCAGAGTGTCAATGAATATTTCTACAAAAAAATAATAAAGACAATAAACATGGCAATAAAGAAAAGTAAATAAAAGCTATACGTGAAGACGATAGTGTAAAATAAACAGTGAATGCATTTCTATTTTTGCTGACGTGACGTTCACGCCATATATCAGTAGCAATAGGAAAAATTAAGGCAAATCAATACATTTTAAAATTTTCATTATTTCCTCAACACACTTAAAAATAAAACAGTTAATTCCACAAACCAATGTTTCAAAGCCTTTATTTCTGTTTGTGGTTTCTTGCTTACAGCTAAAACATTACTTTAAAGAATTGACTACATTAGACTGATGAAAGTGAACATTTTAAACACAGAAATGTGGGTTTAATAAAAAAAAAAAGTATGCTACGTCTGCTAAAAGGTCATTTAGATTTCCTAACGCCTATTCTAATTTAGTGAACGGAACTCTTCTGATTTTCTAAGAAAATTCATTTGGGGTTATCATTCGCGGCGAGTCATCATCACAGAGATCAACACTTCAAATGTGTGTATAATGAAGCAATATTCAAGTTTTGCTCATGTAATTTAGTTTATGTGAAGCTGTACTTAGGCAATGTGCTGATTTCAGGATTTCATAATACAATCTGTACATTTTGTGTAATATTTGTTGGTGACAAATACTGACAAGTGTGTTGTTTTTTTCTTTAGTAGGAAAACAATAATATACTGTCTTTCAACTAACAAAAAGCATGAACCTTCACACTAGAGTACATTTCAAACTTTAGTGTTTAAAATGCCTGGTGACGGGCCCATTAATTGTTTGGAAAATGTTCCTCCAAAAACAATGCAAACATATGAATCAATGCTTTTATTAAAAACAAAAATGAAAGAAAAAAAAAACTTGTACACCAGATTTACAACCTGTCAAATCTGAACAGGGCTTTTTTGTCAAGTCAGAGCAAAAAATTTGTTTATGCTCAACCACCAAATTTTTGAAAATGAAGTTGTACAGTGAAAAAAGAGTGAAAGAACAGAAATGAAAATGATTTCTTTCTGTAGAAAAAAAATGTGCAAAACAAACAAAAGAAAAGCTAAATGCTATGTCTCTTTATGTTTACCCATAGGTAAACAAATGAACTACGCCAACCTTTTCCAACCAATGAACACCAGTTTCACCATGTTAGTTCTTAGAACTGCCCACCGTCGCTCCCTCGTTTAGTTAAAAAACTGTCACGTTTTCACTCAATCACCTCATAAATAATAACATCCTGCCATTTGCAAAGCTTTGGAACATTACGAATAAAAATTTGCCTTCGTTAACTTGCTTCAATGGAGGTTTTAAAACGCTTAACTTCATCATCATGCATATATATATATTAGATTCTTCACCCGGTTAGGTTTTCATGATAACAGAAATAATATTCTAGGCAATGTTCAGAAATGCTTTCTTATGGAAACACATTAAATCTGCACTTAAATCCTCTTTGTGGGTGAAGCAATTGATTCTATTGCCTTGGTGATCCATAGTTTATAAAAAGTATGTTCATCAATTATATCCAGAGGAATATGTCATCCAACAACACACACACACAAAATTAAAAACAAAAATCCACCGATCTCTGGATAATTACCTTCGACAAAATGTCCGGGAATGAATGGTAAACCAGCAGCCATGAGGTTGCCATAGGAACCCACAGCCATCATTTCTAGTTTGACTTGATCATTCGATCGATCAATCTTCACCCGCATCCAGTTTAAAAGCTCCAGTTTTCAGTTGAATGCAGATTTCCAGTGTAGTGATGGCTTCAGATTAGAGTGAAAAAATTAAAGCCATGATCGTCAGACAAAAAAAAAAAAAAAAAAAAAAATGTACAGATTCTGAAAGACATAAATATAAAAAAAAATCCACAATAATTAGCAAAGCAAAAAACTCCATTTTCTTTCCCTGTGAGGCCATAAAAATTTTATGAGATTTGATTTTTTTTTTTAAGTTGCAGAGAAGTTTCATTTACAAAATGCTTCTGGGAGAGAACAGACAAATTAAGTACTACCAACCAGATGAAGTCATAATCTAAGTATTTTGTATTTTACTTCACACTTCTTCGGTGTGTAATCTGCTCTGGAGACCGATGGGTTTTTACAGTGCAGCCGCATACCAAACTGTAACGGCTGCTGGTAGAACTGGGAGGAGGAGGACAGTTTGTAAACAGATAAAGTAGTGACTGATGATGATCCACGTGGAAGGAACTTTAAAAACTGTTTTAATGATAGATTTGAAGTCCGTGCCCAAACCCCGGCGCCCCCGTCGGCTCGAAACGGAGCACTTCCAAAACGTTACGAGAGCTTGACTGCGATCTTTTGCTCCTTCTTCAGCATTCTCTGAGCCTCTTTCTCAACTTTCTTTTTCTGCTGCTCCATGAAGCGTTTCTCCCTCTCAGCCATCTTTTGTTGCCTGGTGGAAAGAGACGGGAGCAAAATGAGACCAGTCTTGTTCCTTGTACCATTAAATGTGTAAATGTATCGAATAAGTTCACAACAAACTTATGCTCCACTTTTATGTTTCCCCCCACCACAACTGAAACAACTCAAATTGTTACAGCGG